CATAAATAGTGTTGCTCTGTTTGGTCCTCAGAAATAGTGGTTCTCTTTCTGGTACTCATAAATAGTGTTGCTCTGATTGGTCCTCAGAAATAGTGGTTCTCTTTCTGGTACTCAGAAATAATGGTGCTATGTTTGGTACTCAGAAATAGTGGTTCTCTTTCTGGTACTCAGAAATAGTGTTGCTCTGATTGGTCCTCAGAAATAGTGGTTCTCTTTCTGGCACTCAGAAATAATGGTGCTCTGTTTGGTCCTCAGAAATAGTGGTGTTCTCTCTGGACCTCAGAAATAGTGGTTCTCTGTCTGGTCCTCTATTACTTCAGTCAGTAAGCAGCATACTATGACAACAGTTTTACTTTAAAGCATATCTACTTCTACTTGACTATCATTGTTGATAATATCTGATGACAGATGCCTTTAAACAGTCTAATCAGAGAAACAATCTTTGATCCCAATGCTCATGCTAGATGGACATCCACTATCATTAACTTTGAAAATTATTGCTCTTACTAACAGTCTTACTAACCACAATACAAATATGTCTCTGGACCTACACTGATCAATTAATCACATGGCACATGAAAAGATCAGTTATTCTATTTTGCAGGTGAAAATAAACAAATATAACACAAGTGTGTGTGAGAGTAACACAGCAAAGTGACTAATCAGTGTATTTTAATATAAATAGGTATTAAAACCCAAATTAAGTATAAACACACAAGTATACAAAAATGATTTGACACTAACATCGATTCAGATTAAAAAGTTACTAGTGAAAAAAACCTGATAATTCTTTAAGATATCATCTTTTTAACACCAGAAGTTTCTTAGATGTGTGATTAGCCTTATGGAAACACAACTATGATTCAGATGTGTAAGAGTTAAAAAGAAAAAATCCTTAAAAAAAGCATAGTCACTTTTTTTAAACCTAAAACAAAATATGTAAACTTCATAGCAATTTTATGAGAATTTGTCAACTCAGAAGCTGGACAGACTAAGAATACCTTTTAAGTTAACTTATCAACAACCAACATCTGAAAATTATAATACGTAGTACAAAATAGCCAACCTCAAAAATACAGTTCAATGAGCTGTAATAATGATTACATGTTATTGTGTTGCTTAAATTCTTTAAACATTAATTATAACTCAAAACATTTAAAACTTTTTCTGTTCCCTCTTAATGTATACAACTTTCTACTAAAAATTTTGTTAAGAGGTTAAAAGAAATTGTGTACAAAGGGTCTGCACAAAAATACATGGAAGGGTCTACACAAAAACACGTGGAAGGGTCTACACGAAAACGCGTGGAAGGGTCTACACGAAAACACGTGGAAGGGTCTACACAAAAACACGTGGAAGGGTCTACACAAAACACGTGGAAGGATCTACACAAAACACGTGGAAGGTCTACATAAAAACACATGGAAGGGTCTACACAAAAACACGTGGAAGGGTCTACATAAAAACACATGGTTTAGTCGGGTTGAATTATACTGAATGTAAAAATATTTGGCATTATTCCTACTTGTCTTTCATATAATAAAACTGAGGATCCAAAGCCAGTTCCATGAAAAAGTCCAGCAAGACACGATAATCCTTTTGTTCAGGTTGCAGCACTCTGTAGAAGTCTAATAGAGCATTCATAAGTCTGTCATCTGATGTAAAAAACAAAGAAACAAAAATCCAGTCAGTGTGTTTACACCAATTGCAATTATCCTTGCAAAACTGTGATTAAATAATGACAAAAACAACTTAGATACTACATAGATTAGTTAAGGTTGGATTAGGTAAAATAAACAACAATAATAATAATATAATACAAAAAATATTTCATGAGGCATACACGCTTGGAGTAGCTTGTGGGTAATGTAATTTGATAGCATAACTTATAATGGCACAAATAGTAGTTAGACACGGTTCAAAGGGCAATAATACAATAAAATTTATTTATAAATAGCTGTATACTGTTACGTGTTTAAAGCTACCTAGGATAAACAAGTGTAGTTTCACACTACATTGGAAGTCATTCTAGAAAGAAAAGGAGGGTAATTTACATTTATTTCTATTTCTTTTTTTGGTGGTTACGAGGTCAGTCAAATTGACCAACCTTGTATAGAGTTAGGGTAGAGAAA